AGGGTAAACAAAGGAGGAGGCTGCAATGCTTGGTAAGAAATGTACGCATTATCCTGCCCATGCAATTGTAACCCCTCTGTACAGTATGTTCACAAATTAAATTAAATTAAATTAAAAAAAAATTTCTCATGCCCATGTTTTGACGTAAGTGGGTGCCTTCCACTGTAACATTAAGGGAACAAATCATGGGTGAGAGGTGGCTGTGTGTGCATCTGTGTACATGTGTTCACCGGAACACACTTAGGTGGAGCCAGAATGGCCTGGCAGGTGTTCCATTGGACCCAAGAGGAGGAAGGGCTTGGAGACTGCCTTGAGGTGGTGCCCAGTGACCTGTGCTTCACTTTCTGGACTGCCATCCTGCTGGTTGCTCCCGGTAGGCTCATGTACTGATGTCATCCAGATACTCCAATTTTGATGTAAGTGAGCACTCTTCCTCCTTTCTGGGAAGAAATCCTTGAGTGTGTTTGTGTGGGTATTTTCTTGTAACTGTGCACACCCAAGTTTGAGGAATGCACTTTTGCCACTTCCTGTTATATTGAGGCCCCAAGGGAAGGAAGGCTACCCTCCCTTTGAGCGTATGGTCTGCATTGCCCTGGGTTATGGGCCTGGAGCCTGCAATGATACTGTCCTTCCCAACCTATGCTTCACCTGCTACAGAGCAGTGATGCATGACAGACTGTTTTTCTTCACATTGGGAACTCTCTACTTCCTGGTCCTATTTGTCCCAGGTGCATATATTATCTGTGGGTGCTCTCGTTCCATATAAGTGATTTCTCTCCATACCTCAACTGTGTAAAATCAATTTGGGAGAGAAGTTTTGTGTATGTGTACACATATGTGGTGCCAGATAGTCCTGGTCATAGGTTATTTTGAACCATGGGAAGGAAGGTCAGGGCTTGGAGACTTCCCCTTGTTCCCAGTTAATGTCTGTGTAGCTCAGGATTTTGGCCTGGAGCTGAAGATTCTACTACACTCCTTAAAGTGTACTTTTCCTGCCACAGTGAGTTTATACCCAAGGGTCACTTATTGTTCACAACCAGGAACACTGTCTTCCTGATTTGTGTTGGCCAGGGTACAGTGATATTGATATAATGTGGTGTTGAGTTAAATGCTTGGGACAGGGTGAGACACGGTCAGAGGAAGGTACTTATGTAGTGGCAGATTGGCCTGGTTATGGGCTATATTGGACCAGGAGAAGGAACGCCAGAGCTTGGAGACTGTCCCATGTCCATACCCAGGTAATGTCTGTGTAGCTCTGAATTATTGTTCTATAGCTGGGGATGCTGCCACCCTCCCTAACTAGTTCTTCATCTGGTACAGTGAGTTTGTGCCTGACGGCCACTTCTTGTTTGCTCCCAGGAACTCTGTCTTCCTGAACTGGTGCCATCTGAGATAGCCCCATTTTTGACCTAACTTTCTTCTTTCTGTTCTTCCTGAGGGAACTGAATTGTGAGTGAGGTGATGTGTTTCTGTGTATATATACAAGTACACGGATGTGGAGGTAATTGGGCTAGAGCTGCTCTCTAGTAGGTACTAGAGATGGCAGGCTGGAGCTTGGAGGGTATGAACAACTCATTGGGACTGTGTCATTTATCTGGGATTATGTGCTTCCACAGGGAGATCATGCCTAGTGGACAGTTTTTCTTCACCTTACAAACCTATCTTCTTCCTGGTGCAAGTTAGCATAGGTGCAGAACCACTCACAGAAGCCCCTGTTTCAAGTTAAGTAGTTCTCCTCCTGCCGTTGTCCTGTGAGAACCAAATTGCAGGTCACAGATTGTGTGGGTGTATATACACATTCCCTCCAAGGCATGGATGGGATGACAGATTGCCCTGCTCATGTTCTTTATCAGACCCAAGAGAAGGAAAACCAGGGCTTGGAGAGTGCCCTGTGACTGCTCTAAATGGCCTTGTGTTTTGTTGCTGGGGCTATGGCCTTGAACTGTGAATGTGGCTGTCCTCTACAACCTGTGTTTGTCCTGCTACAGCAAATTGGTGTCCCCTTGCCTGTTCTACACCATGGGGCTACCATCTTTCTGGTCCCTCCTGGTAGGCCCAGGTGCCTGTGTCATCCCAAATACCCAAGTTTGTAGGTAAGTGGGAGTAATCGCTCATTGGTGAGAACCGATCCCTGGGTAGGGTATTGCAGGTATGAGGTTGTGACTGTACATACTCAAGTTTGAGAAAACACATTGGCCGCTTTGTGCTGTACTGTGGCCCAAAGGAAAATAAGTCCAGAGACACATTCTTTCAGGCCCCCGTTTCAGAATATGGCCTGTGTTGCTCACCATTTCAGATTTGGAGCCTGGAATGCTGCTGCATTTCTCAACTTGTGCTTCAAGTGCTACAGTGCAGTTATCCACAATGAACTGTTTTTCTTCACCTTGGGAACTCCCTGCTTTCGCTTGCAAGTTGGCACAGATGTGGGTACCATCGTTTGTATGCTCTTGTTCCATGTAAGTAGATCCATACAGTACCTGAACTATGGGAACCTAACTTTGGGACAGGGATTAATGCCTATCTATCTTGTGATTATTGGCATGACTGAGGATTCTGGCACCCTCCCCCTCTGTAACTGGGTCTTTACTTCCACAGTGACTTAATTCGGAGGGCTTCTTCTAGTTAACAGGGGTGTGGCAGACCATGGGCCAGTGTCATCTAAAGTATCTTTTCAGGGTAAAATTTGCTCCCTTCTGTGTCTACTGAATTGTGGGAATAGTGATGTAGGCTTATGTACCAGGAGTGCAGATGAAGACTCTAGAGTGAACAAAATGTGTCAGGATGTGTCTATCTGCTTTTCCCACTATAGCCTGTAAACCTGGATTATGGGCCCAGAGCCTGGGATGCTTCCACCCTTCCTAGTTTTTGGTTTTGGTTTTATTTTTTGTGTGTGATGGGGCTTGAACTCTGGGCCTGGGAACTGTTCCTGAGCTCTCCAGCTCAAAGTGAGCATTCAAACACTTGGGACACATTGCCACTTGGGGTTTTCTGGCTGTTAATTGGAGATAAGAGTCTCATGGGCATTCTTGCTTGGGCTGGCTTTGAACCATAATCCTCAGATCTCAGCCTCCTGAGTGCTTGGATTACAGGCATGAACCACTTCTCCACACACACAAAATTACCAGTATTTTAAATGAGAGCCCTGCTCTTTCTTGCCTTTCTTTCTCAGCTAGCCCAGCTATTTTGTAGGCACACCAGCAGCACATATATAAAATGGTTTCCAATCAACCTCAGCCAATCTGTTACTCTGGTCCCATGAGATTCAATTCCCTTGTCTTCCAAAATGTGAACACTTTTAATTGTTCTGTTTTGAAACACGAAAATAAATTACATCAAGACTTACAACCTTCAGCTTTGGGATATACTACTTGGGTTAGCAGGCAGCCTACCCATCATTGGACCCATCCAGTCATGGGTCCTGAGAATGGGTACATCTATTGGGAAACAGACGTGGAGCACTAGAGGGCTGCTTGTGCATCTTGAAGACCAAAGGGCACAAGATGGTTAGAGGAAGCCCTGCAAACCTTGGTTCTCTATCAAGTGACAGAATGGGGGTGCAGAAAATTTCTTATAAGTATTGACTTTGCTGTTAATTTTACTAAAAACAACAATCTCACTTTTATTCCTGATAACCACCCACAAATACATGCTTGTGTATTTTCCAGGCATAAATTAACCTCAACCCTCCACATCAGAACTGAGGGTAACTACTGAGGCACGTTGGACGGTAAGCAGCAGTTACCGCTATAGGATGATTAGCCTATGAAGTCCCTTGTAGTGATTAAGGTAAAAAGATCCCAGGGATCTTTTATTTTGACTTTTATATTTGACTTTAAAACACTTCCAAAATTGTTTATGAACATAGGTTTCATCACTAGAATAAGTAGCTTCCAGAGTCAACTTCGTTGAAAGACAGTATTTAGATATATTTAACATAAGCAAGCTGGATATGGAGGGCTCCACCTGTAATCCTACCACTCCTAAGGCTGGAGATGAGCATGGTGTACATAATTACCTTGCCCCTCACCCATCTCAAATAAACCAAACCCAAAACACAAAATTACAATAAAAATAAAGGAATGAAAACCCAGAAAATCACGACTGTATAAGGTTTCTTACTCTAGAAAAAACTCAGAGATAAGTTTTTGTCTAACACACTATTTGGTATAGGTTTACAATTGGTATGGAAACTCTTTGGACTTACAATCACTGTTTTCTTTAATTCTTCCCCAACACACAATTTACATTATTGTTATGTTAGAGGTGCGGTTTACCTTTACATATATCCAGAAATGAGTGCAATTCCTTTCACATAGAGTCATCTCTTCCCTCATTCTCTCCCATCTAGTTCCAGAGATAAATTTCATTAATGTCCAGCAAGCCAGGGTGACCAACATTTCCCTTTGTCACCTTTCACTGTCTCAAAATTACAAACTGATACACAGATACTCAGTAATTTAAGTACTATTTAAGATGGACTAGGAATCAAAGATTTGACGCTCAAATATTAGGTGAGAAAAAAGGTGTTACATACTCATATATATTTATATGTTATATATATAATATATACAATGTGCTATATATACATGTTATATGTATAATACATATTATATGATATATGATATATATCATACATATTATTGGTACCCATTTATTGCTTTCTGTTGAGTAACACGTTGCCATCAAATTATCATTGCATAATTATAACTGAAATCATCAAGGAACAAACTTGGAACTTAGAATTCTGTGGCCCATTGTTCTTAGCAGCTTCTGTTTTCCACAATTTGGCCAACTCAGATAGCCTTCACAATATTTGTAAAGTAATTACACAAAAATAACTTGAAAATTATATCCAGCCATGGATAAGCAACCCATTATGATTCTCTGCATTCCTTAGCTGTTACTTCATAAAGACAATACAACTGAGTTGTATTTTGTGGCTTATTAAACCAATTATTAAAATTCTAAAACAATATAGAGGAAGCAGAGAGGGGGGAGAAAGAAGAGAGGAAGGAAAGGGAAGAGAGAGGGAATGAAATCAGAGAGAATGGGGGAGATTATTTCAACAAAATCAATTGAGGAATAAGGAAAAAGAAAGATGTGTGAATGGAAATATACAAGTATGAAGCAAAATAAACACTATTGAGTATATAAAACATGGAACTTTTAGAAGAGGAAAATATTAATGAGTCATGATTAAGAAGAATAGTTACAGGTAGGAAGATAATATACTTTAAAAGTAAAAAAGGTCCATTAACACAGCTGCACAAGATAACATCTAGTGATCATGGCTTAAAGGTAATATAGAAAGGAACATTAAGAGTATAACATTTCCAGTTAACCATTACAGAGCCAAAAGAGGAGCTGTGCCTCAAGTGTAAAGCACTAGCTTTGACGAAATGAATGAATGAATAAATAAATAAATAAATAAACTAACTAACTAAGAGAGAGTAACCAGGCTTTAAGATCAAGACTCAGGACTAGGAACATAAAATAAATTTTTAGGAAAATGATTAAGAAAGCACAATTCAAAAACTAGTAGCAGTTAAAATATATTAGTGGAGATGATTGGATAAGTGCAGTGTAAGCATGAAAATCCAAAGATATTGGAACAAAACTAAAATGTAGGTGGCTAAAAATTGTGACTGTACTATCACATGAAAAATGAGTGAGACTCACTTATTCATCAAATTGATTCTAACAATATAAACTAATATATGATGGAAAAAGAAATCTAGAATTTACTTGACCTCCTATGTATTTAATCATACATGTAAGTTTCATCTTCGGGGTTTATTTCCCCTGGCATGTGTTTTGTCCCGAAAACCATGCAGACAATTTCTATCTGGCCTTAACAATATGATGTAGCACTTGGGAGCAAAAATGCAGCCCAACAGCCCTGCACTGGAAGCCAAGATGGAGAAAACTTCTGTAGCCACCATGACTTTTCCTTTGGCACTGTGGTAGACAGGCAGGAAAGTGAACCAGATACTACAGAACACCAGCATGCTGAAGGTCAGGAACTTGGCTTCATTGAATGTGTCAGGAAGGTTCCTGGCCAGGAAAGCCCCAATGAAGCTGGCCAGGGCCAGAAAAAACAGGTATCCTAAGACACAGTAGAAAGCAGTGAGGGAGCCCTTGTTACACAGGATGATAATGTGGCCATGTTCAGAGTGTACATCTGTGTCAATGAAGGGAGGTGAAGTCCCCAGTCAAAGTACACAGAATGTCACCTGAATCAGAGTACAGATGGGAATGATGAAGTTAGGAGCCCCTGAGAGCAGTAACCACCTCATTCTTCTCCCTGGATAAGTGACCTTGAAGGCCAGAACCACAGTTGCAGTTTTGGCTAACACAGCCGAAACAGCTACTGTGAATACAACTCCAAATGTGGTTTGCTGTAGAATGCAGGTGGCTGTGTTTGGACGGCCAATAAAGAGCAAGGAACAGAGAAAACAGAAGATGAGGGAGATGAGCAGGATGTAGCTGAGAACTTGGTTATTAGCTTTAACAATGGGGGTGTTCTGATGTTTCACAAAGACTCCAAGAACAACTGCTGTGAGTGTACATAAACATAGAGCCATGCAGGCCAAGGCAATCCCCAAGGGCTCTTCATAAGCCAGGAAACTTACAGCTCTTTGGAGGCACTGGTTTCTCTCTGTGTTGGCATACTGATGATCTGGGCACTTCATACAATGCTCCACATCTGGTGAGGAATTCAAATAATCTTTTTAGTACTTAAAAGCAAATTAGAAAATCCGTACATAGAGAAAATTATAATATGTCAATACTTATTAGCATAAGAACAAAAATTCCCAAATATTACCAGATATGTTCAGTATCATATTATATCTTCATCATATTCCCACACACGTTCCCACATTCTCTTCTTTTATCCAGTCCTGGGACTTGCTTTGATGGCCTGGGCACTGTCCCTGAGCTTTCTTTGCTCAAGGCTAGCACTCTGTCACTTGAGCCACAGTGCCCCTTCTGGCTCTTTCTATTTATGTGACACTGAGGAATTGAACCCAGGACTTCATGCATGCTAGACAAACTCTCTATGCCTAATCTACATTCACAATAACTTTATCTTTACGTGTCTATAACACATATTATCCCTTACCATTACTATTATCCTTAAATTTTTTCCAGACCTCTTCATGTTGCCATAGCTCTTCTCAGCCTGTGTTCACCACTCACACACTTCATTGAAAAGAGTGCATCACAGGGTTTGTACTTCCCTCCATGTCTCTGGACAATATAAATAAAAGCCCTATATCCCTTCTTTGAAGTTGTCATATTGTCTGTCCCGCTTGCTTGTAATGCAGGGGGCAACATAAAATCAAATCACCCTTTCAAGCTCTAAAGTCATGCTGTGCACAACCCTTTTGATTGCTTCTTATACAAAAAACAATCACATCACTTGCTGTGTAGCAACAATATTTCTGGGCACTAGGAAATAAAGATGTGCAAGATCTCTTTTTTCTTTATTATCTGAAGTCAGTTTTGAAAAATAAAAGGGAGACCTTATCCTTTACGTAGCTTTGCACTTAATATAATGGCCATTAAACTTACATTAGTGATTACTTGAACAAACATTCATACGCCAGAGTAAAAAAATTAATTCTACACATAATTCACAGCCTGTAATCTTTGTCAAGAAGCAAGAACCTATATAGTCACAATTAATTTATGAGTAAAAAAAGGAAGACATTGGTGCTGCAATCCTAATACACATCTTTTGCATTGCATGGTTTTGGGGATACTGTTAGAGAATATAAATTTCTGCCCAAGTCATGAACTTACCTGTCCCATTAGCTATCTCATTCTCTGAGCAAGGGGTACAATCATAGCAACAAGCAGCCTTTTCCTCCTGAGGGGTTTTCCGGAATCCTGGAACACAACTTTCACTGCAGACAGAGTGAGGAGGCTGAAGAAAATCAGATCTGTGTCAGTAACTGCTCAGACTTTTACCTGACATTCCAAAAATTCCATTTTATTTAAAGAATAGGATTATTAAATGTATCATTTTATGCACATAAATCTGGTCAGTTAATTCAACGTTGGTATAGATTCCACATCATACCACAAACAACTTATGTTCTATCAGCTTGATCTCTATCTAGCCTATTGAACTCTTGAGAAGTGTGAGACCTTTAAAAGTTGATTAATGGTGAGAAAGTAAGTCCTATTGGCCAGAGCTATGGAATTTCCTTGAATTCATGTCATTATTTGTTATTTCCTGCTATTTGTGAATGATGAGGAGTAAAGAGAAGCAATTTTCTTTGAAGCTTGAAAAGTGGGGTGTAAGATATTGCATAGGCCTTCTGTTTTAGGGTTATCTGAATACAAAGACTGTCACATTTATACAGTGGCCATGAGCTGAGAATCTCTTTTGCTCAGGCTCTTTCACTGATTCATCTCACCAAAGATACCTAAGCAGTAGGCAAGTAATCATTGAATGGAACTTCCACAAGTGGGAGCAAAATAAACCCTTAAAACATATAAAGTGATTGCTCTGATACTTTGTCACAATGTAGAAACTTGCTAAAAAAACGCAATTTAATATTCCTAATAAACTTTTAGAAACACTCTGTTAACTTTTTCTGGAGATGATCCTCGGACTTGAACTCGTAGTATGGGCACTGACCTTGAGGTTTTTGTGCTGAAGATTAGCATTTTATTACTTGAGCCAAATCTCCACTTGACATTTTTTATTGTTAATTGAGATATGAGCATATAAGATGATGTTAAGCGAAATGAACCCAAAGATGGGGACACAGTGGTTTTTTCTTTCTTGCTATTGTTTTTAATGTATTTATAATGTACTATATGATTTTTGGTTTCTTCGTTATGTTCCTCCCCGATGGTATAGCCCCTGTTTCCACTGTATGTAATTTTGGTGCCCTGGGTCTTGTATGTACATTTTTTTTCTAATTTAGTGAGTGGAAGATAAAAAACAAAATGTTCAAATAGGGATACATTTTGACCCATTGTAACAATGAGATGTACTAGACACTATGTTGAAAATGAACTTTACAACTTGGTGGGTGATGGGGGAGTTGGGAAGGTGGAGAAGGAATAGATAGTAGGGAAAAACAAAGTATAATGTAACAATGCTCCATAGGAAATTTATTCATTACCTTACTCATGTAACTGTAACCCCTCTCTATACTATTTTCATAATAAAAAGCAAAAAAGTCTCATAGAATATTCTACCCAGTTGAGCTTTTAACAACACTATAATCTTAGATCTGAGGTAGTCATCCACCTGGGTAGATATAATTAAAAGCAAGAGTACCCTCACCCAAGTACTGTTAATGTATTCTATTCCTTTAATAGCCAACAATCTGTCAATCCATTTTCTTAAGTGAGAAATATTTTAAATGTCTACTACTTGGTTTTTAGTAAGCACATAGGGTATAATTTGTGTGTGCGTGCATGCGTGTGTCTGCCTGTCTGTTTGTATGTGTGTGTGTGTGTGTGTGTGCACACGCACGCACACGCACAAGCCAGAACTAAATCTTACAATGTGAATCTGGGTTGGGTATCTGAGCTTTGTTGCTTAATGTTAACACTTTAGTGCCTAATCCACAGCACCACTTCAGATTTATTGATGGTTAATTTGAGATTAGTCTCAAAGCATTTCCTTTTAGCACTGTTTTTTTAAACATGATATTCATATCTCAGCCAGCAAAATACCTAGTATTATAGGAGTAAGTTACTGGCACACAACCACATATAAATTTTAAGGGTGAAATTTCTTTACTTATATATCCTTAAAATCATTACTGTTGAATCCAACCAACCTCTGTAGTTCCTATGGTCCAGTCTACTAGATCTTCAGATAAAGTCAGTTGATGACCATTAAGAGTATATGGGGAAAATTTTCCTACTTTCATCTCAAGTTGAAGACCTTCGGGAAAATTCCAAATGTTCACAATATCATACTCTGCCCCCAATTTCTTTTTCTCATCTAAAATCACTTGATCTCCAGCAGGATTGTGAAACTGGATGTTCTTCAGAAAACGATGCAGCTAAAAGGTAAATATATGGTGAAATATATCCCAGAGTTAAAAAGGAAAACCTGAACCAAGAAAGGCTCTTGATTGCTTTAAATTTTTGATTCCGAATTCAAGAATGGTAGAGGCACCTAGTGAGTTGCATAGAAGAAAACCTATCAGAGAATAAAAATATTCTTTCGGAATCCTGGTCACTCAGCAAGGAAATAGAGGGCCTCTTTTCAAGACAAGTCAATTTCATGTAAATAGTCATTAGTGAAAAAGTTTTCATTTGCTTACTATAGGCTTCTACATCCACTAATTTTGTGATCATCTGTAGTACGAGCTTGGCAAAATTTTAATAGATAAAATAGAATAAAACTATCTCATGAAAAATATACATAATTATGTGTAGGAGGTCAACATTTAAACTTACTTACGAAATGCAGATTTCAATGGTGATTTTGAAGCCTTCAAAATATTAGCTATAAACATGTTGGTTTATTTGTTACTAAACGAATTTTTACAAATGTCCTTTTTCATGGCTGCTTTTCTTGAAGAGTACATAAAAACATTCCTAGAGAATCTCACACACAAATGAAGAAGTATAGTATCTTGGGTTTTCAGACAATACCAAAATTATTGAATTTCATAGAGTAAGAACCTCTCTACAAAGTAACTTTTTTCCTAATGTGTGATGTACAACACAGAAGGCCTTACCTGTGCAGGGGAAGACATTATCCCATTTCTATTTCCCATTGTTTGTGTTTCTGTTTGATAAAGCAGCATATCATGGAGAGCCTGGGCCACAGCATACACAGCATTGTATATATTGTAACTGTCTCCAGACATACTCATGTCAAATATATGCCTAGGCAACCAATCCAAGGAGGCATCATGAGGACAGTTCTCCCACTGTACACAGTCAGACGCAGAATCTGAGCAATTAAAAGACAGAAACCATAACCTAGCAAGAAAAAAGTCTTCTGGGTATTTGCACGGGTTAACTGATTTGAGAAAATCTGTGAATCCAGAAACATCTGGGTGATGGTGTGAGAAAACGAGAGGTACAAGGAATGAACCTAGAATGAAATATCTCTTTCTCATGGTTACATCCCACTCTGAGTTCATAATAAAAACTTTGCCTTTTATTAAAAATTGTTCAACACATATCAATAAATGTCGTAGGAACTCATTATTAGCATACACAATGACGATATTTGCTGAAGATTTATTTATCTGGTTATAATGTGACATAATTTTGAAAATATTCGACATGGAATAATTTGGTAATGATAGCTCAAAGGCTACACAAACTCTGTTCTTGGCCATCTCTTCTTTGAATGCAGGAAGAATCCACAAACCATTCTCATCTTGTAAGGTTATCAGTCCCACCCAATTCCAGCTGAAGTGAAGTAGTAATAAGACCATGCCATTGGCTATTGAAGTGTCCTTTGGAGCCATTTGATAGAGACTAGGAAACATGTTATTGTCACTCAGAGCATGATCAAAAGGCCCAGAGGTCAGCTAAAGGGAATGAGAACAGGAGGCTGCAAAAATGAGAAGATTTCCATCCATCCTAATTCCAGTCATGATATTTAAATATATATATATATATATATATATATATATATATATCATATAACTATGTGCAATAGTTGTAAGGTAGGTTTTTCATTTAATTTTGGAAGAAATAAATTTAATTTTTTAAATTTTTTGGCAATGTATTAATTTGTTTTTACAAAATCTCTTAATCATTGTCACTGTTTCCATCAACTCCTGTAATCGATATCCACCTCACATATTCACTGACTTTCCTAGTTCCATTTTCACATATATGTACATTGAATATTATATTATTTTCTATTCCCATCTACTCCTTTCTCCTCTTCCATATTCCCTGAACACCTAAAAAGCCACCCTCATTGAAGGTATGCTTAAGTTGCCTGGTATTTTTATGTACTGTCTCTTTCTCTGAGTGGTTACATAATTCAATTCTACCCTGATATGTACCATAATTTAGTCAGATTGATCATATATATATACATATATATATATATGCATATATATATATATATATACATATCGGAGTGTGGTCCAGATCTTTTAATATTTCATTTTCCTTATTTAGACAAAATATTACATATGAGAGATCATATACTCCATTCTCTTTCTAAGACAGACATATTGCATTCAATGTATCTTACACATGAGCCTGCATATATGTGTGAGTGTGTGTGTGTGTGTGTGTGTGTGTGTGTGTGTTTGTGTGTGTGTGTTAGTAAAGGGCCAGGAACTCAGGGCCTTATGTAGTTCTAAGCTTTCCCCCCCCCCCCCAAAGTAGCACTGTACCACTTGAACCACACATTACTGCATGATTTTTCTAATTAATTAGAAATGATTTCTGAGTCACTAGGATTAGAGATGTGGTCCATCAGCATCATGCTCAACATATCTTGACATTTTAAAGTCATTTTCCATTTCCTGATTTTGTAAGAAATCAATATCAATTATAAGGCTTAAAATTCCAAAATAATACCTTTTGGCTATAATGTTTTCATCCCCTTTATAAAACCAACAGTAATAGAAATATCACATTATCTTTGAATACATACTCTCTTTTTTTACTCTACATTTTAAAATATGCTTTTTATTGTAAAAATCCTGTACATACGGGGTACAGTTAATGAGTAAGGTAATGAGTACATTTCCAATTGAGCATTGTTACCTCCTCCTCTGTTTTCCCCCTACCATCCTTTCGTTCTCCACCTCCCACACTCCTCCTGTCCACCTTCCTCTCTGCCAAAGTTGTAAAGTTCATTTTCACCAAAGTGCCTTATACATCTCATTGTTACAATGGGTCAACTTGTATCCTTATTTAAGCATTTTGTTATTTCCCTTCCCCTCCATAAATCAAGTCTCTTCCTTTTGTCCTCTTCTAACACCTGAGATGGCACTAAATTAGGCATTCTTAAGATCTCCCACCCCTCACACTCTCACCTGTGGAAAACTATAGAGGTCCAGCAGTGAAGACAATGCTCCTGAAGGTCCTGTAAGTACTGCTATAGACTGGTTGTCTCTCATACAATTATAGTTTGGGAAGTCATATTTCCCAAAAAGACAAACAAAAGGATTTTTAAATGATGTCCTTGATCCATATTGAACATCATAGATACTAAATCCCAGAGTTAAGTTATGTAAAAGATCAGGGTTTTTGTTGATCTCTTCTATAGCAAAAGCCAAGGCCAAAACACACTGGTAGTTCTTGAAGGTAAACCTGCATAATGAGCATAGAAATTCACAGGAGTATTTCAAAATTATGGTTTTTATGGAAGGAATGCTTGCGTTTCTGCTAATAAGTATCGTAAAACATTCTGCCCAATTAGGATGGAATATGAATACAATGTCTTGTGCTTGAATATAGGGTTATGTAAAGATATGAAAGGAATTTGTCATGAATTACATTCAGAAACTTAGTTAAGCCAAGAGCTTGCTTTATCTCCACTACCATATACATGCAACATGCAAAATTTTTCCATTAGGCATGGGGTAAGTTGCGATGAGACACAAAATATTCTGTTGCCTTCACCTTGGGTAAATATGGTAAAACAGGTGGAGACCTGTGTGAAAAGCCTTCTGGTTCAGTCGCCCAGCTGCTGTTAAGTGGTTATATTGCAGGTTGAGCTAACTAACAATTCTTCAAGTTAATAACATCTTTCATAAGGAAAGCATTATTTAATCAGGATTGCATAGCAAGCTTTGCTCAAATACCGAACAAAATCAACAGCTCTTCCTGCAATATCAACCACAACAAAACCTTAATAACAGGTGAGGCAATTTAACTGTTATTTATGTAATGAGAACATAGGTAGTCAACCAACTCCAAGGTACTGAATATGGGGAAAGGAGCCTACAATGTAGGTTATGAGGAAAGAATTGTGAGAAATCTTTACATTGAAATCCACCATCCAAATCCACCATGAGGCATTACACTAATACTTGATATATTTGCTAGTGTATTTATCTTGAGATATAGAAAAGGAAAAAACAAAGTTGTAAAGAGGATAAAAATGCTTTCCTTTCTCGTTTATGATATGTATGTGCAATGTTAAATCTGTTGTGAGAACATTAAAAAATTAATATAATATAATCAATGTACATTGTTCAGAGAAGGACACAATGGAGACAACATAAAAATACAAATGATTCAAAATGGAGAGGAATAATCCATGAAAATACAAGAAAAATGGCAAATAAAGCAAGTTTAATTCTTAAAGAAAATGTCCAGGCTATAGGTCAGACAATGAAGGACCTAGAATATAGTTCTAAAATGCTTTAAGAACAGGTTTATTAAAATATGAAAAGAAAGAAAATGTACACAGGACAATTCCTAAGCATTATGAGACTAGAATTATTAGAAGAATTCATGGTATCTATAAAGATAAACGTAAATCTATATCGCAGATGAAAAGGAAACTAATAGTACAGATGAAATGAAAGTGTCTTCTCCTGGCAAAAGGATATAAGACACTGATAATTCCTGGGGGAAAAAAAGGTAAAGGAGCATGCAAGAAATTTAAGGAAAACCAAGTTTACATCTTTGGGGTGGGGGTGGGGTGGGAGGGGGCGGGGCTGGATGGAGGGATGGGAAGGAATTTCTGAGCATAGAAAAATAAAGACACATTCAGTAACAATGAGTAGTAGAAGCCCAAACAGTCCAGACCAGAAAAGAGCATGCTATTGCCCATGGAAAGGGTACTTGAAGATATTAGCGAGGAATAATTGATTATTTATGAAGGAAAAGCTGTCAGAATAAATACAAATTTCTCATATGAGATAGTGAAAGGAAGAATGACTGAAATGATGTATGCCACAGTTTATAGGCAAACATCTACCAACCAAAAACAGTGTACCCAGCAAAATACTCCTTCATAACTAGTGAACAAATATAAAATTGCATAAGAAGAATAACTGCAATAATTTTCCTCACCAATCCAGCAATAGAAAAATAGCTAAGGAAATACATATAGATGATCAATCAGAATGCCATAGTGGTGGAAAGAATATTCCTTATTAGAGAGCCAGCTAAACATTATAGGAAAAGATGAGGCACAGACATCAAGCAGGTGAATAACATGTCAGGACTTACCAAACACTTTTCAATTCTCAGCATTAATGGCCTTAAATCTCCAAATAATTGGAACAGATTAAGGAGTTGGATCAAATAGCAAGACCCATATATATGCTGTCCACAAGAGACCCATCTTGCCAACAAAAATGAACATTTTCTAATTGAATGCCTGGAATAATATATTTCAAGCAAATGCTCCCATAAACAGGTTGGAGAGGCAATCCTAATATCAGATAAAATAGATTTAAAATTAAAATTAATGGTAATAAAGGAGGGCACTGAACAAAAATAAATACAACTCTCCCTCAAGAGCATATAACAATTCTAAATATCCATGCACCAAATACTGGACACCCAACTTCATTAAACAAATACTTATTGATCTAAAACTTATCTTAAAAAATAGATGCAAACACATTGATTGCTGGTGACATCAACATTTCACTGTTGTAGCTGGATAGATCATCCAGGCAAAAATTCTGCATAGGACCATCATACCTAAACAAGTGCATTGATAAAATAGAATTACCATAGAGCTAGTAAATAATTAACCCAGGAGCATCCGAATATACATTCTTTTCAGCCACTCAAACAACATTCTCCAAACTAGATCATCCTGTAACTCAAAAGGCACATCTGTGCAAATTCGAAAAAAAGTCATGATTCCCTATATCCTGACAGATCATAATGGAAGAAAATTACAATTCAACAGGCAAAGCTATTACAGAAAATCCCTTAAAACTGGTGACTGAACAACATATTGTGGAATGACCAGAAGGTTATTGATAAGATTAGAAGGTTGATTCTAGTTTTTATGACGCAACAGATATGAATACTAAAAAAAAAAAAATCAGCTACTTTGGGACACAATGAAGGCAGTAGTCAGAAGAAAATCTATACCTCTAAATGCCTACAGAAACAAATGGGAGAAATCACAAATTAATAATTTAATGATAAGCATTAAGTTTCTTGTACAAAAGGAACATGACCAATTCAAAATCACTAAATGGAAACTATAATATTAAAACCTGGGAAGGTTGCTCTGTGGTACAGTGCTTGCCTTGCATGCATGAGATCCTGGGTTTGAATCCTCAGCACCACATAAGTAGAAAAACCTGGAAGTGGCCATGTGGGTCAAGTGGTGGAATGCTGGCTTTGAGCTGAAGAGCTGAGCGTCAGTGCCTAGGCCCCAGAGTTCAGGCCCTACGGCCGACAAATAAATTAAAACAAGAAGTAAACAAAATAGAGAAGAAAATACCATAGAACGCATAAAAATGAACAGATTGGTTCTTTGAATAAATTAAAAAATTGAGAGACCCTTAGCAAATCTGAACACAAAAGGAAAAGAACACACAAAATTATAGACAGCATTATATTCAATGGTGAAAATTAAACCAATTTCCTCTAAAGTCAGGAAGAAGAAACACATGCTCATTTTCTATTCCTTTTCTATATTGCAGTGGAATTTCTAGCAAGAGAAATAAAGCAAGAGAAAAAAATGAAGGGGATCCAAATAGGAAATGAGAGGTATAACAATCCTTATTTGTAATTTTTTTCAGGGGACCAAGGCATCTATTAGTCAGCCAAACCTTCATGGCTGAGGTGCCAGTTAATACTTGGTACTAGCAGCTTCTTCCCCAAGAAGCCCCTCTGCCGCAGAGCCCTAGTGTTTCCCATATTCTCTCCTGCAATACTTTCAGGATGTCTGGTGTTACATTGAGGTGTTTACAGATGGCATAACCCAGTATTGGAAGATACCTATAACTTCCTTCCCCCAAACTAATCCAAAACTTTCGAAAATACAGAATCAAAATTAACCCATTAAAATCAGTAGATTTCTGGTGTGCCAAAACGAGAAGTTTGTGACTAAATTCAGGTAAACGACTTTTTTGTAATAGACTCAAAAAAATTGAAAAGACCCAGGAATTATCTTAACCACAGATGTGAACAAAACCTGAAGAAAACTTTAACTGTCTGAAAAAATTAAAGCATTTATAAGTAAATGGAAGACCTTTTTTTCCCCCGTCGGTTGTGGGCTTGAAATCTGATGTGAACAACACCTGAAGAAAACTTTAACTGTCTGAAAAAATTAAAGCATTTATAAGTAAATGGAATACCTTTTTCCCCCGTCGGTTGTGGGGCTTGAACTCTGGGTTTGAGCACTGTCCCTGCGCTCTTCAGCTCAAGGCAAGCACTCTACCGCTTGAGCCACAGCACCACTTCTGGTTTTCTAGTGGTTTATTGGAGATAAGAGTTTCACAGAGTTTCTGCCCAGGCTGGCTTTGATTCGTGATCCTCATATCTCAGCCTCCTGAGTAGCTAGGATTACAGGTGTGAGCCATTGACGCCAAGCTTAATGGAATAACTTTGATGCTCCTGAATGGGCAGGATTATCATCGTGAACATGGCAGCACTGCCCAGTTATTCTACACATTCAAATCCCATTGAAATCCCAACAACATTCTTGAGTGATATAGAAGAAATATGAAAATTTTTACGGACGGAAAATCATGACAAAGAGCAAAAATGGTCTTTAACATCAAGAACAGTACTAGGGGAATAACAATATCTATCTTGAAACTCTGAAACAAAGCCTTCGTAAGAAAAGATATTTGGTAGTGACCCATGAAAAGGCCTGAGAACCAATGGAATAGAAGACCCAGAAATAAACCTGCATATTTATAGCCATCTACTATCTCATAAGGAAACAAAAAACAAAAAATGGAAGAAAGAAGCCTCTTCAATGAATGGTGCTGGCAGAATTTTGTATACATGAGCAGAAAACTACTAGCATCATTTCCAGATGGATCAGTGATCCCAATGTAAGGCCAGATTCACTAAACGTATTACAGGAAGAGATTGTGAAACATAAAGGTTACATGATGGATATCACAGATTGAAACATCTTAGTCAAGTTCCAGAATCACAGCAAATCAAGGTAAAATCTGGGTAAATTGCATTCACCCCAAAAATATTTCTGCATGGCAAAGAACATACTTATCAAGATAAATACCTGAGAAAATGGGAGAAAGACTTTCTAACATGTATGATTTAATGTATGATGTTAGAAAACGTCATACATAAAATCTACTCAAAGGTCAAAATTTAAAAAAAAATACCCTCAATAAACAAATCCTCAAAGAAAC